CCCCCACCCCCAAGCAAATTCAACACACCCACCCACTCCAAAAGAAAACAACAACATTCCCCCCCACCCAATTAAAAAAAACACCATAAACAAAAATATTTTAGATACGTTATTGACAGTTTGCATCTTGACATTGAGTAGTCTGAGCTGTACACGACGATCGAGTGTTAAATGTAATAACAGCAGTGCTTAAAACTATTAAATTCAACTTCATACGTTAGCGAGGAACTTGACACCTAGTTTGTTTCTTCTATCAGAGAGCGACGGGAAGCAGAGAAGTCTAGGGCTATTTTTCATTAGATCATTGCTTAAATCATTACAGGGCGCCAATGGTTAGCCCTCACTTCTTTTTGATTCTTTTTTTGCTTCTGTCCATCTTATTTTCAGTATTAAAAGGTCTTTATCATGCCACTGAGCTTCTTTTTACCCAAAAGCGCTTAGAGTGTAAAAAAAAAAAAATTGGACATAATGTTGTCATTGCTGGTTAGCTGTTGCAAGAGTTGTGGGTTACTGGTTGTTGCCATAGCCGGATTCTGTTGACAGAGGAAAACAAACACGTACGATTTCGGACAATTGGATCGGTTGAACGCGTCGTGTGAAAATCGAAGGTCGGGGCAGATCAAACGCCAGCATGCGAGTGGTTGAAGGGAGCTACTTCTTCCCCCTCCCCCCCAATCTGTTCTGTCTATCTATCTTGGTTTTACCTACACTAAACGAGGGTTGGTGTTTACAAGAGTTCTTTGCTCCAAAGCAATAACAACAAAAACAACAATACTAACATCAAAACATAAAGTATCCCCACCCATTCCTTAAAAACAACTTATTTATGTATTTCTTCTATATTTTTTTTCTTTACCTGCATGAGGATAAAGAGCAGAGCAATGAAGAGCTGCGAGGAGGAAGAAGTCCACCTGGGTAAGGCTGCAGTCTTCCTCCCAGCTGCAAAAATCCGGTATATCCTGTTGGTCTTGACGAGCAATGGCGCATACACGAGGGTGAAGGTCAAACTAAATCCAACATGGCTGGCATAGCAAGACAGACCCGTGGGAGGGACCAGCAAGCTGAACACCAACAGGAAAGCTACAAATACTCCGATAAGCATGAAAAAGCTGAGTTCTTTACTGGATGAGCGAATGACTCTCTCGTTCCGGTATAAATAAAAGATGAACGCAGTCACCGTTGATGTCCCCAAACCCAGGACTGCGACAATTGCCAGGGACAAAGGGAGTGAATCTCGGATGTTAACGAAGGTCGGCTCGATGGGAAAGCAACGTTCTCTTTTCGTCTCGTCCGGCCACTCCAACACCGGACATTCAACACATCTGGTCGTGTCGTTCACCGTGATTTCATTGGGTTTGCAGCTAACACACTTCCAACAGCACGTTTGTTTCGGGAATGTGTAGATGTCTCCAGCAGGACACGGTTCTGCGCACACTGAAGCAGGAATTAAACTCGACCCGTTAGGCCACTGTTGCTCGTTATCTAGAATTAGTTTCTGGTATTTCATGTCCCAAGCCCCGATTGCCACTTGCTTGGCTTCACCGTGGCGGATCTGACATTGTGTTATAGCCACTTTGCCCACTGCGTCTCCAGCGTCGTTGAAACACACGTCCCCTGACGATCCTTGGAAGCGAACAGATTTCAAATAGGGCAGAAGAGACTTGCCTCGTAGACATTCCTTTACGTCGGAGCCTGTTGCACCTGGGCAGTTGTCTAGCACAAAGTTGTGTAGAGCGTAGGCAAAAGCGTACACTGCATCTATAGCGTATGGGACAGCGAAAGTCGGGTAGTATTTGTCCCAGTCGGTGTCCTCCACCGTACCAGACCACACTGTATGTCGGCTACGATCTGAACTGTTGGACGTTGTGTTTACCTCTCCAGTCCCCCCACCCTCAAATTTGCCTTTTGCGTACGCTGTCTTAAAGGTAGACACTTGCTGATTATCTATGTAGTTTTTGATGAAATCATGATAGTAGTTGATGAAGTCTGGAGGAGTAGAGGAAAAGAAGGTTACGCTCAGCGAGCCCAGAATGTACCGACAGTTCTCGTTCTCCATGTCGGAAACGAGACTGGTCGTGTCGCTTCCGGCCCAGATGAACTCTCGGTAAGCTTCTTTGCGCCTCACTGCCGCCATCAAAGGCTGGATGTGTTTGATGTCAGCGTACAGCGCCACCACACGGGCATTTCTGTAGACCCTGAGGTTGTCTATAACTCGGTCGTAGTCGTTCGGGCCCATAGAATCTGTGAGTTCGATGCTCTGGGCAATGCACGTCTCCATGCCTGCTAGGAGCGAGCGAAGAGATTTCTCTGCGTTGAGACCGTAGGGGTCGGCTGAGTACACCAACGAGATGAAATTCCAACTGAAGTGACGGATCAGCTCTGCCATTGCGCGAATCTGGTACCTGGAAGATGCAAGGAAAGGAGAACGATTTATTATACATCCCATGGATCAAACGATAGCACAAGTGCATAAACTGACTTCCGACAAAAAGCTGCCTTAAACGCAAGATTTGAAAAAGTAATTATAGATGTTTAGCGCCCACGTCGACTCAATTAACAGTATTTAGGTGACAGCTGCTTCAATCTTGCCTTTCAGGACCAAACATGGCAAAGCCGACTACAACGTCTCAGTTTGTTTGTTTGTTTGTATGTTTGTTTGTTTGTTTGTTTGAGTACGTTTGCGTGGAGATGAGAGAAAAAAAAACGAGTGCACGTATGTGCTCTTTTGACTGTTTATTTTATATATAT